AGTAGTAGTAGTAGTAGTAGTAGTCTTAGTAGTAGTAGTAGTAGTAGTAGTAGTAGTAGTAGTAGTAGTAGTAGTAGTAGTAGTAGCAGTAACAGTAATAATAGTAGTAGTAGTAGTAGTAGTAGTAGTAGTAGTAGTAGTAGTAGTAGTAGTAATACTAGTACTAGTACTAGTACTAGTACGAACAGTAGTACGAGTGGTAAAAATAGTAGTCGTGGGAAGTTGGGGGGTGAGTCCGACGTGAAACGGAGACACCCCCTGCTGGGAAATCGCTTTCGGTTTCGGGTTCTTGTCGTGCGTGCCGTGTGTGCGTGCGGGCGAGGCGAAGCTGCGTGGGCGGGCGAAAGAAAATCCTCCTGTGGCTGGGCCGCGGCCGGACCAGATGTTTTTCCTCCAGCGGCCGGTGGCCCGCGGTGTCCCGCCGGTGTCCCGCTGGTGTCCCGAGATACTCCTGTGGCTGGGCCGCGGCCGGACCAAATGTTCTCCTCCAGCGGCCGGTGGCCCGCGGAGTCCCGCCGGTGTCCCGTGGTGTCCCATGTTGTCCTATGGTGTCCCGTTCAGTGAGATCGATCGTGAGACCGATAGTCAGATCGAGAGGTGTCCCGCGGTGTCCCGTGGTGTCCCGTTGAATGATATCGATAGTGAGATCGATAATGGGATCGACAAATGTCCCGTGGTGTCCCGTGGTGCCCCGTCGAATGAGATCGATAGTGAGATCGATTGAGTCAGATGTTGGTTCCCCCCCGTCTCCCCCCCCACAACGTCCTTAGCACCCGTCGTGTTGAAGTAGTAGTAGTAGTAGTAGTAGTAGTAGTAGTAGTAGTAGTAGTAGCAGTAGTGGTAGTAGTAGTAGTAGTAGTAGTAGTAGTAGTAGTAGTAATAAGTACTAGTAGTAGTAGTAGTAGTAGTAGTAGTAGTAGTAGTAGTAGTAGTCGTAGTAGTACTAGTCGTGATAGTACTAGCAGTAGTAGTAGTAGTAGTAGTAGTAGTAGTAGTCAGTAGTCGTAGTTCGTAGTCGTAGTAGTAGTAGTAGTAGTAGTAGTAGTAGTAGTAGTAGTAGTAGTAGTAGTAGTCGTTAGTCGTAGTAGTAGTAGTTAGTAGTAGTAGTAGTTAGTAGTAGTTAAGTAGTAGTAGTAGTAGTAGTAGTAGTAGTCGTAGTAGTAGTAGTAGTAGTAGTAGTAGTAGTAGTAATAGTATTAGTTAGTAGTAGTTAGTATAGTATTAGTATTAGTATTAGTGTAGTAGTAGTAGTAGTAGTAGTAGTAGTATTAGTAGTGGTGGTAGTAGTAGTCAGTAGTAAGTTGGTAGTCGTCGTCGTAAAGTAGTAGTAGTAGTAGTTAGTAGTAGTATATAGTTAGTTCGTAGTCGTAGTCGTAGTCGTAGTAGTAGTAGTAGTAGTAGTAGTAGTAGTAGTAGTAGTAGTAGTAGTAGTAGTAGTAGTAGTAGTAGTAGTATTAGTAGTAGTAGTAGTAGTTAGTAGTAGTAGTAGTAGTAGTAGTAGTAGTAGTCGTAGTAGTAGTAGTAGTAGTAGTAGTAGTAGTAGTAGTAGTAGTCGTCGTAGTAGTCGTAGTCGTAGTAGTAGTAGTAGTAGTAGTAGTAGTAGTAGTAGTAGTAGTAGTAGTAGTAGTAGTAGTCGTAGTAGTAGTAGTAGTAGTAGTAGTAGTAGTAGTAGTAGTAGTGGTAGTGGTAATAGTAGTGGCAGTCGTCGTGTTAGTAGTAGTACGAATGAACCATCCTGGCGAAGGACCCAACCATATGCAGTTGTGAGTACCGCAATTGGGAATATCTTCTCCGGTGGCGCTCCCTACGGGGCCACGAACCGTATGAATGTGTGCCGGAGTGTGTGGCGTAGCCTCTGCAGGGGGCTTCCCTGGGAACCCCGACGGCAGCGCCCGCGCGCCGCGACGCCCATGTCGGCACGCCCCACACGAGCATCGCGCCCGTTTCCTCCCCTCTTTTTTCATTTTCATTTGCCCGCGCACTCCAAAGTCCAAGGCTGCGGGCGCAGCGCAAGGCGGAGCCCTCGCGACGCGCGCAGGTCGCCCCGAAGGTTTCACAGTGACGCGCACGGTTCGTACGCTGTGTGGAACAGAGATTGTTTGCCGGCTAACTGATCGCGCGCATCGCTCTGGCCGCCGGGCGGAGCGACGACGGGCGAGCGAGGCGCTGGACAGAGCGCAGCGCGGAGTTCGCGCGACGCGCGCTGATTGCCCCGAGAAGGGTCCCAGCGACGCGCGCAGGGCGTCCGCGGCGCGAGGCCAAACAGTTGGACAGCCGAGAGAAGGCGCGGCTGTGGCGGGCCGCTCCTCACGTCAGGCCTCGCGGATAAACTCGGTGAAACCAAGCTCACTGGCGACGGCCGTCATCATCGTCGTCGTCGTCATCATCGTCGTCGTCGTCGCCGCCTTCCTCCTCTTCGTCCTCCTCGTCTTCCTCCTCCTCCTCCTCCTCCTCGTCTTCCTCCTCCTCCTCCTCCGCCTCCTCCTCCTCCTTCTCCTCCGCCTCCCCCTCCTCCTCCTCCTCCTCTTCCTCCTCGTCCTCCTCCGGTTGGGGATGGAGGCGAAAGGAGAGATATGAACTCTATTACGGTCCTGGGACCCCTCCCGGAACCCGAACGCCTCCGACGCTTCCTATCCGGAGCTCCGTCGAGCCCTGCTCGGGGAGGCCGGCGGGACACCCGCTCCGTCAAAGCTCATCCTATGCGCGGCGGGCTCTTGTCGAGACGACCCTGTTGCTGGTCCCTGACGCCGTGGGGAGCATTCACCTCGAACGATCTCCGCTCCTGGAGGTCCCTGGATCCTCTCGACCCCATCTTCGTTATTGATTTCGCGCCGTGGGTTCATTTCCGTGGGCCCCAGGGCCCGAAATGGGCCCGGCGTTCAACCTTGAACGGATCGCCAGCGCGTCCACACAACGCGAACCGGCCGCAGGCCTCCCAAAGGGGGCCAGGGTCGAAGGGTCGCGCCGCATCGCCGACGCATCGTCGACGCACCTAGCGAATCGTCGTCGTCGTCGACGTCTTCGTCGTCGTCGACAACATCGCAGCCGCCGCCGCCGCCGCCGGAAATGTGAGGCTTTGCGCGAAGCTGGGAGACGGCCGGGGCGACGCTGACTGAATTCCCCCAGTGGCCGCCTCATGGATCGCTGCTGGCTGAGACCGTCGTGGCGACGACGGGCCTCCGAAGGCCAGAAAGCTTCGAGCCTCGATCCTCGAGGTTCGCACTTCAAACCTCGACGCGAACCTTCGAAAATGCCGAGGCACCCCCGTTAGCCTTTCCAAACGAGAACGCCTTCGGTGGAGCCTCTATGGGGCCAAGAAACGTGTGAGGGGTGTGCCGAAACGGGTGTGCGGGACGCATGCGGGCACACCCACTGGGACCTTCGGCGGAGCTCCCTATGGGGCCACGAAACGTGTGAGGGGTGTGCCGACATGGGTGCGCGGGACGCATGCGGGCACACCCACTGGGACCTTCGGTGGAGCTCCGTATGGGGCCACGAAACGTGCGAGGGGTGTGCCGAAATGGGTATGCGGGACGCCAGCGGGCACGCCCACTGGGACCTTCGGTGGAGCTCCCTATGGGGCCATGAAGCGTGTGAGGGGTGTGCCGAAATGGGTGCGGGATGCATGCGGGCACACCCACTGGGACCTTCGGTGGAGCTCCGTATGGGGGCACGAAACGTGCGAGGGGTGTGCCGAAATGGGTGTGCGGGACGCACGCGGGCACACCCACTGGGACCTTCGGTGGAGCTCCGTATGGGGCCACAAAGCGTGTGAGGGGTGTGCCGAAATCGGTGTGCGGGACGCATGCGGGCACACCCACTGGGACC